AATGATGACCTCAGCCCTCCTAGATCCTAGGAGGGCAGTCTGGATTGCAGAGATAAGGTCCTTGGGGCATTATCTCTGCAGTATCTGAATTTAAGCAACAAAAATAAAGAAAAATGTTGATGTGAGTTGGCCGGCTCATTTTTGGGCCTTAGATATGAAATCTGATTTTGCGGAGGAGGAGATCCAACTGTTTTTTGTGGGTTGACACAAAACGGCTAGCTCCGGAATGAGTTGGCAGCAAAATGGAGGGAAAACAAAGAGAGGTACAAGACAAAACTGCGTATTTGGCCCAAGGATTGGGCCAGATACACCAAAAAAATTGAAAATTGAAGTAAAAGGCTCAAATTTGGGCCGAGGGGAGCTTGGGGGTAGCCGGAATGATGAGAACCATGGATCTCAGCCAAGTCCAAGGCTGAGATTGGAGCCGCCATTTGGAAAAATGCAACGGCCTACCCAAAAGAGGACTAGACGAGGAAAAAGACGAAAAATGGGCCTCTAGGCCCTCAAAATTCAGTAAAGGCTGCATTTTGGGAAGGGGTACCCCAAAAGGCAGCTCTTTTTGAAGTAAAAAGAGGCCGGGGTAGACCAAGGGGTAATCCGAGAAAGTACCGGCCTTTCAGGCTGCATGTACCTGGCCAAAATGAGGCCCAGGTACCTTCAGATAGGCCAAAACCGGAAATTTGGCCTTGGGGGCACCTCGGTCCACCTAGAGGGACTTGGAGAGGCCTAAGGGTTGGGCGGTGCACCAGTTTCAGCCTACATAAGCTGGAGGTGCAGGCCGCCACTCCCACTTGAGCATGAGAGGAGCCCATGCTGCCCAAATGAGTCCGTGAGTGAATAATAGTGAGATAGAGCCAGGAAGTGAGAGCCGGAGCTAGCCTGGAGCCTGGCTATGGTGATGAGACTAAGGGAGAAGGCCTAGAGGCTAGGAGGAAGCAAGGAGAGTCGTTCGCCATAGCCCTCAGGCTGTGAGGTAGGAGGAGAGGCTGAAAAGGGTCCCCTTAGCCCTTCTAGAGGGAAGGACTCCATAGCCTTAGAGGTAGGAGCGTGCCATAACTTGAGAAGAGGAGTGAGAGAAAGAGGAGAGAATTTGGGAGGTGGGGAAGCCATACTCAAGGAGCTAGAACCAAGCTCGGGACTACACTGCCTAGGGACCAACACGAGGTCAGTGGGAAGGGAGGAAGTTTCCTCTCTTTCTTCCTCCTTTCTCCCTCTTCTTCTTCTTCTTCTTCCTCTCCTCCCTCTCCTCCTTCCTCTTCCCCCTCTTCTTCTTCCTCCTCTTCTTCCCCTTCTCCCTTCTCCTCCTCCTCCTCCCCTTCTTCTTCTCCCCCTCCCTCATCTTCTTCCTCCCTCCAAAACTGTGATTTTTATTGATCTTGATGCCTATGTGTGTTGTGCTTCATCCTAAGATACTTCGAAGATCATTCCCCTAGTGTAGATCTCATCAAACTTGTCATTTTGCTGATGTGGATGCCTATGTGTGTTGCGCTTCATCGTAGTATAGTTCGGTGATGTTTCCCCTAGTGTAGATGTGATCAACCTTGTCATTTTGCTTATTTGGATGCCTATGTGTGTTGCGCTTCATCCTAGGATAGTTCGGAGATCATTCCCCTAGTGTAGATGTCATCAAACTTGTCATTTTGCTGATGTGGATGCCTATGTGTGTTGCGCTTCATCCTAGGATACTTCG